GAACTGGGTTGTACGCTTCAATGACTGAAAATGCAATGAAGTTATCTTCAATCTCATTCATTTATTACTGGGATAAATGTAAGAATGAAGAATAATGACAGTATATCTAATATTGTGAATCTTTCTACTGGAGTCGTTTGAACATCCCAGTAGGAACATTAATTATTGTGCAATTACTTGTATAAATCCGACAACCACTGATAAATGATACATAGTTCACCCTAAAAAGCTCACAAATAACTCATAACTGCCCTAAAATCATGATCGGATCAATATCTAAATAAAGTCAACAAGATTTTCATAAGTGAGACACTTCGATCCTATGCTAGATAAACATTCTGGTGCATACATGGAATTTGTCATCCAAGCTCCTACAGACGTCAAATTTTAGAGGCTTTAATCTTTTTGGAAATCAGCTATTTAAGCATTGGTGGAAAAGAAGGAGGAAAATACAATCAACCATTGAGGATATAATCAACTATAATAATATAGGGTGGTATTCCGGTAGCGCGTACTAAGTTAGCGCGTACTTAGTTAGTCTACACTTTTATGGAGTGCCAGTTGCCAACTCATTTACCGTGTACAGATTATTTTAATCCTTCAATGAAAAGTGTCCAAAAAATTAATTTTGCTATGAAATGGGAAGAAAAAGATAATATTAGTATGAACTGAATTTTAACAAAGTCTTTGGTAGATTATCTTTGTCATGAATATTAAGGAGGAAGATGAAACCTAGCATTCCATAGAAGTGTGAACTAAAATTCTTGTTTAGTCTGGACTTAGTCCCGGCTTAACTTATGAGAATACCACCCATAATTACTAAAAAGTGCCTTTCTTCATTTCATTCTTAAATTGAACAGTATTGTAGTCATGTAGAGTGATACTATAGGTCTATCTAGTGACAATCACTCCCTCCAAACTCATCATATTATGAGTCCTGGTTTACAAATAGCACTATAATCAACCATAGCCAAAATTGATGACCTACGATCCAATCAAAGAGCTACTTTGATGTAGAGATCTTTCTACATCTTTATTTCCACATTGAGTATCAGATTGCTATATTCGGCCATACTCAAGAATCTGATGGATCTCCTATATCCTGCATTGGGAATATAGAGCCCTATTTCAGGAAACCTAAGCCGCTATCTGAAGATAGAGATCCTGGGACTATGCCGCCCTTTACTTGACACAAAAGGAGACAAGCGATCAGTTTCATGGATATCACCTCTTTGTTAAAGGCATTGTTTAACAAAATTTCCAGTTTTACAAATCTGAAATGCATGGCCCTACGTGCTATCAGCGTCTGTGATATTGTGTAATATTGAAGCCCTAAAAAAATTGCACTTCAAAATGATTATGAAGTGCCTCAAAAAAGTAAACATCTCTGAGTGACTGGTTTTACCATACTCATTTTTTATTTCCAATCATAAATATCTTGAAAATCAGACAGACATTCGGCTTGTAAAATTCATGGGCTTCTTGACTGACCTAAAGGTTTATATTAATGATTGCGTCATGAGCTAAATCCAGAATTTTGTTTCAAAATCTGAGGTAATGTTACCGAGTCACTTTAAGTAGACATAGAAATACTATTAACGATCACAATCATAAGAGATATTATGCCTCTAAAAAAAACATAAAACATTCCTCAATTTTCATATAAAATGCCTGTCTAGCAGTTGAAAAATATTTTGTTGTTCCCTGGAGCTCCTACTACATTTGCTGCATATATGATGTGTCCCTTTAGGCCATATTTTGATGTATTCTTTCATTTTCTTACTAGAAGTCTCTGTTTATTTACCAGAGCTACTTTACTGAGAGCTTCCTGGAGCTAACTATTTCATCACTCAAATGGGTTTTAGTTTTTCAAATGCCGTTTAGACATTACTGGACAAAATGTTGACAAATTTCAGATGTGACTTGTATCCTTTTATCAACAAAGGGCAGTGTCCCAACACTACTTAGCACATCAATCACTGATGTCATATTATTTCTTTCTCTCTTTCTCTCTCATCCTCTCTCTTGCTGTCTATGACATGATGATCTATAACAATAGGCAGATTGACCAGGAGACTCGGAAACCAATCAGTCAATGTCATATTCTCTCTCTTTCTCTCTCTCTCTCACCCTCTCTCTCTCTCTCTCTCATCCTCTCTCTTTCTCTCTCTCCCTCTCTCTCTCTCTCCCTCCCCTATATCTCTCTCACCCTCTCTCTCTCTCTCTCTCTCTCTCTCTCTCTCACTCCCCCCCCTCTCTCTCTCTTTCTCTCTCGTTCTCTCTCTCTCTTTCTATCTCTCTCTCGCTGTCTATGACATGATGATCTATAACAATAGGCAGATTGACCAGGAGACTCGTCAATCAATCAATCTCATATTCTCTCTCTTTCTCTGTCTGCCTGTCTGTCTCTCTCTCTCTCTCTCTCTCTCTCTCTCTCTCTCTCTCTCTCTCTCACCCTCTCTCTCTTTCTTTCTCTCTCACCCTCTCTCTTTCTCTCATCCTCTCTATCTCTCTCTCTATCTCTCGCTGTCTATGACATGATGATCTATAACAATAGGCAGATTGACCAGGAGACTCGTCAATCAATCAATCTCATATTCTCTCTCTTTCTCTGTCTGCCTGTCTGTCTCTCTCTCTCTCTCTCTCTCTCTCTCTCTCTCACCCTCTCTCTCTTTCTTTCTCTCTCACCCTCTCTCTTTCTCTCATCCTCTCTATCTCTCTCTATCTCTCGCTGTCTATGACATGATGATCTATAACAATAGGCAGATTGACCAGGAGACTCGTCAATCAATCAATCTCATATTCTCTCTCTTTCTCTGTCTGCCTGTCTGTCTCTCTCTCTCTCTCTCTCTCTCTCTCTCTCTCTCACCCTCTCTCTCTTTCTTTCTCTCTCACCCTCTCTCTTTCTCTCATCCTCTCTATCTCTCACTCTCTCTCTTGCTGTCTATGACATGATGATCTATAACAATAGGCAGATTGACCAGGAGACTCGTCTCTGTCAGCGGTGACCTCAAGGGATCAAAATTAAGGACAGCTGAACTCAAAAAAGAGCTAATTTTACACTCAATCAGCTTGAATCTATCTATTATCCATGCAGTCGCACCAGAATAAGCTATCAAATTTTGACTGTTTTTGTTGTCGTACAGGAAAACAGAACTGTTGCCCGTTGATACAGCCCATAAGAAAGAAATCCTTTTTTCAGTTTTTGAAACTATTATTTACTTCAGTATAGAAGAGCCATCCTTGTAACAATTGCATATATAGCAAATTTACCTTAAGTTGATCTAACAGCTTTGAAGTCCTTAAACAGTCCTCCCCCCCCCCCCACAACAACAACAAACAAAAATCTGCAGTGTTAGAAATCCATTTATATGTAGAAGGACATGTGCTATAAACATCACAAAGTCACCACCCTCCTATATCGAGTACTTAATTACATCTGTCTATCTGAAATATCCCACAGGTTACTTTGAATAGTATACAATGATCTATGGACAGTTCTTAACATGCTCATTTTTTACTCTTTCCTTTTCCTTTTTATTGTCTGTATAGAGTAGGTCAAAAGCCTACTTCAAACCAGTTCAAGCTGTTTTTCATCGCCATAATCTAGTTCACATTGCCAATTTGCCATTCCCTGCTGAGCCGATCATTCTGGGAAAACATCCTCATCCGAAAGTGATAGTCATGAGAATCATGGTTTCAAACTCCAATTAAAAAAACTCTCTGCGACCTTTCAAGTACTTCCTTCAAGTTCTTCCTGTTTGCCATTGCCACAATGAAAAGTTGGAACATTTCCTTGATGTGAGGACGACTGAATGAAGCTTTCTTCGGTCGACTCGCTTCCGGTGAAACCAATACTGTTTCTACACTTGGCAGAAACTTTGGGTAAACATGGGAGTATCGCTGACATGACAGTACTCTGCTAGCCTTCCTGGAAAGTTCACTTGGATGTTGGTTCACAAACAACACCCAGGATTTTGTCAATATTTTGACAGTTGAAATAATGTGGAGTACATATCTCGATTTTCTAATGCAAGGAAGGATGCATGGCCTTTGACCTCTTGTACTAAAATGTTGATCTTTTCATTTGTCCATGCTTCTGAAAAACAAAAACTTGGAACAAGCTTGGGTTGAAAACTTTTTCCCCGTCACCTCAGTTACACCACCAAACTAAGTCCAAACTGACTACATACTGACCAATTCTTGGAGAGTTGAGGTCAAGCAATACTTTGATCGGTCTGATAAAAGTTGGATGCTTTATCTCGTTGATGTGATCAGGGTTTTGCTATAGTAATTACAGACGGACCAACAAACCAACAACATAATGTCTGTGGGTTTTATGTGAGAAAGGAATGAAAATCCCAAAGGCCTGCAATACCAAAGAAGTGGAACTGCCCCTGCGTATCTATCCATCTGCCCATCAATCTGTTCAAGGCTTTAGAAATTGTGGTCAAGTGGTCAAGTGTAAAGTGTCAAATTAGGGTATGTTCAAGCAATTTTTTAAAGCTACATCACAAACATGAATCACCAATCAAAACGCCATTAAAAAACATGGTTACTGCAGGAGAGCGTTCAAGCGATTTTTCATCAACGCGGATTCTCGCTCATTTCAAGCCCAGCCACTGCTCATCACACTGTGCAGTTTGACCCAGGAAGTATAGGTCAACTTTGCTGCGTGCTTTCTGAATTTGTTTACGGTCGAGTGTCGGCCAAACCGGAAGCAGTGCACGATAAGGACATTTTAGAATCATGATCAAGATTTCTGTTCATTCAAGCGATTTTTGGCAAAACGCATCTTTTTTTCAGCGTTTCATGTTTGCGTTTTTAAACACATTTATTTTTACGACGACAAAACATCGCTTGAACGAAACCCTGTTTTTAACTAAACGTCTTTGAAAAACGGGTTTCTAGGGTGAAAAAGTGTCACTTGAACGCACCCTTAGAGTCTGTGCTTCCAGACTTCTATGCACCCACCCATCCATGTGTTTGAGCTTACTTACCTCACTAGAACGGAGTAGAATCCTATATCTGTATCTCATGTTATGGTCCTTGCTGTTCTCCACTGGACTCTCCTGCTCCTCCACCCTCTCCCGCCGGACGCTGACGGCCAGAGGGCCAAGGAACTCATCCACACCAAAGTAGTTCTGGTGTTCTACACGCACAAAACAAACAAGGGAAAGAGACAATATTATGCTTGCAAACAGATGGTGTACAAGAAGGGGGGGGGGGGTGGATAGGTAAATGTTATATGTTGTTAATGGGTTAAACACATGCCATTGACTTCTGTAGGTTTTCAATTAAAAACCAAAATGGTAACAAATTATCAACTATTGAACAGTAGGTTTCTGAGAAGTGAACTGATATACATTGATACTTGATCAGCTAAAAATGAACTGCATATTCATTTTATTTTGCTTCGTCTTCGTTCAATAATAATCAATGAACAATTTTGCTGTAAACTTTAATAAGGATCATTTGCATGACGTAAAGGTTGCACATCTAACTAACGTACCCAACAGCCATTTAAAACGTCATGCCCAATTTCCTAAAAAATGGCATCACTTGGCTAAAAATAAATAGGGGGCTAGTTTTGATACACACTACAGGAAAATTGTGGTAGCTATAATTGGCCACATTTGCAAAAATAAATTCTGATGTGCGTATTAACAAAAAGGCATGCTTAAACGGTTAACAATTTGACAAAAATTCATGTTCAAGTCCTTCTGCTGGGCATACTTCAAATTAATTAAACCACGATAGACAATTAGCACAGGTGTCTTTGTCTAGTAGATACATCGTCAGACTGTGGATCACATGGTTCAGGGTTTGAGTCTACCACGACAATAATGTCCTTTGACAAGACATTAATCTACATTTGCCACTCTTCACCCAGGTGTTAAATGGGTACCAGTAGGAAGAAATTCCTTGAATGCTGTGAGCACGAAATTGGTGGCCTAGCAGAGCTAGAGTAAGACGGAGTGCCTTGAGCACCTTGCATGGTGGATATGGGCATTAAAACAGTATCAAAAATTGTCATTATTATTATTATTAAAGATAAAGTTGAGTTCTGGTCATGCGAATGCATTGTGAAAGAAAAGGTGTGGAATGGATCAGAAAAAGCTGATCATTACCTTGATTTCCTTATCTTTCTATGCTCATTACTCAGCCAGTATACATTTTCGACCAAAATTGTTCGGTAAATGAAATTTATTTTTAATCTTGAACAGTGTGAGTTTTGTTTGATTCTGTGAGAATTCATTTTCTTTTTTTACCAGAGCTCAAGTTTATTATTATTATTTTCATTATTATCATTACCATGCTTGTAGAAGTGCTTCCGATAATAGAGGGCCCCTTGGTCCATGTGCTCTATGACAGGCCCTCGCCACACATAATTGGATTGGTCGTCGTTGATGCTGAGCTCGGAAGCCCCCCTCTTCTCAAGAATGGTTTGATGACGATACCTGGTGATGTCATAAAGGAGAGATGATTAGATTGAGTTGGTAATAGAATAAATGGGTTTGTCAATGCATGAATGGAGATGGGTTCACGTTGGTAATGGGGGAGGGGGGGGTAGGGTAAGGCAGTCCCTGAATGTCTTTGATCAGAAGTCACTTGTATCAGCCTCCAGCTGTATTGTTGAATATTCGAATAAAACCTTATCAAATCAAATCAAAGTCACCTCTGCCAATTCTCTGCCAAATGTTCAAGTGAAAAATGAAGGATTGTCTTATTCCGGGGAAAAACCAATGGATTCGGATTAAAACTGCTTGTTATTATCAGAATCATTTATTTCTTTGTCTATTCCTAAGATAATAAAATGAAGTTGTTCGTCAGCAAAGTACGCATGACTCCACTACAACAAAATTTCAATGAGCAGCTCCAATAAAACATGTCAAACTGGCAAAACTGGAAAATAAGGCAATTGCTGCCACATTTCTGTAACCAAAATATTTAGCAAAAATCCAATTCAATGATTTCAGTAGCTACAATTACTTTCACTTGTTAATGTTATAAAGTTTTAAGAAACAGCGCCCTTGAGATTTTTACTTGAATCCCTTTTCTTATCAGTATACTGATGTAGTAATCACTTAATTCATATTTACTGTAGAACCAAACCTCTATCCTAAATCAATCCCGGTCATATTTTACTCTACTACACATAACCAGTGTGTTGGCTCAGTCAGTAGAGCATCCGCCTCACAACCGGGAGGTCTTGGGTTCGAACCCCAGCCGCGTCATACCAAAAGACGTTAAAAGACGGGAGTTGCTGCTACTTTGTTTGGCGTTCAACAATAAGGGATAGAGCAACGTCGATCTGGTGCTGCTCAGTGGCTGCCGGGCTCACGATCAATTGGGCAAAAAGAATTTCCATTTTCGGTTTAACTTAATAAAATTTGGAGTGGACTTTAAAAGATTATTATAAAAACATAGCTGATTTAATCCTCACTCTTGTTGACGTCCGTTGACCTTCATATTACCCCTATTACAAGTTCAACCCCCGGTACAACCCTGAATACTGGATGTGATCCAACTGGCATAGCAGGCGCTGCATGGAGCAATTAGCACCATTCAGCGTTGATTACCGGTGCCCCTCCTGGCCACGACCTCTACCATCCATACCAGACATAGTCTACATGCCCACCTGGGCATCAGCAGACATGGTTATGATTTCAAGATATTAGCCTGGGAGTGTATCCATACCAGATTTTATTTGAAAATCTTCTGTATCTAATAGCTATACTCAATGAGATTTCTTTGTAAGGACAGTTATCTATACCAGAATACATGTACATTGTGTAGTCTTTATGCCCACTCAGTATTTGTGAAAAAACTTGTAATACTAAGAAATGCACCATGATATCTCGCATAATAAGGATAAAACTTAATCAATGAAAGCTAATCTTAAGAAAATAAATTTGACATGGACACACCCAGCAGACATGTATTATGATCTAATTATGATACACCAATAGTATTTTGATATGTTTGGCTGTTACGAGAGACATGAATATATATCATTTCAGTATGGTTGGCTGTATCTCTTCATTAATACATGCCATGTGAGCACATCCAACGAAAGTTAAAGAGATCCACTACGATCACCGAGTATTTTATGTATATTAAGTTAGGAACAGAAATCCCTGAGATCAAATCAACAATTACATGTACAATTACTTTGTACCTAGCTTTTTGACTTTGTGATCATATGTGACTTGTGATCACATCAATATCATTATCAATAGGTATATTTGACTGCAAAACAGCAGTCACCTCTTTTACATGTATATGTAGTATCACCAGTGTCCTAAGCTTAGTTAGCTCTACACAGAATACAATTACACTAACTCTTCCAGCCACCCCCCCCCCCCTCCCTTTCCCCTCGTTCAAACTGTAATACTACAAGAAATGCCCTTTCATCAAGTCCTCCTGGTTAATTCATCCCATCCTCCATCATAAATCATTCTCAAATTATGATCACATTAATTATGAAAATTATCTTAGAGAACTTGATAAGATATTTCTTGAGATTCTAAACTGTGATATCATAGTGTGAGATAGACAAGGTATAATACAGTATTCATTCAAAAGTCAAGTTTCCTGGCACCATTGCAATTAGCTGCAAAACTTGGATATGATAGTATTAAACACAAATGTAGCAACATTTCCACCATGTCGCTTCCTGTTGACTATGCTCTGTGGCTGGTAGTCCTTGGGAATCAAGGTCCATCAATTTACGATCACTAGGCCTGTCTCTATCAGCTCGACTTTGCCAAATAACCCGCTATTTTAACTATCCCGATCTCAAATTAGCCAGTTAATTTGCGTCTTCATCAGCGGGATATTTGGTTTAGAAAATATCCAGAGAAATCTTGGTCTTGTTTCCAAAATATCCCGCTATTTGATAAATAGCAGGCTAATTTGCATCGTCCCAACTAGTGTTTGTGATGAGCATTTCAGTCTGGTGAAAACACAATTTTGAGCTTCAGGATAATATCCAGAGTCTGAAAATAGCGGGTTAGTTGGCAAACTCGAGCTGATGAGGACAGGCCTACTTCAAGCGGGCAGAATATGATAATTAAAAATCAAGGTGATGGAGTAGATAAGAAAACTATTATTGCTTCAAATATTTTACAACTTAAAAAGGAATCAGTGACTCCAATCTATTGATTTTGTATTAACATTATTGTTATTGAATATTCATAAACTGCAGCAACCCAAATTTAAACCCAATTGTACAACAAACTCAAGAATTTATTGTCATTCTGAAGACTTTGTACTACACAGTTTATATAAGTGTAACACGGGTAGTTCAGATATATGCATCATTAGTTTTCACCAAAGATCATCTTTAGAATAAGTACTGTAGCATCAAATAAGGTTCTACTTGAACATGCATCATACATGTACAACCAAGGGACAATAACCCACTCAGTTTACAGTCAAACCTGCTTTAGTGACCACCTGTACAGAAAGACCACCTGTCTACAAAGACCACATTGTTTATATCCCTTGAAAGTGGTTTCTCATTGAAACATGTACTATTAGGAACCTGTACGTAAAGACCACCTGCCTATAAGGACCACTTTTCTTGTCTTCCTTGGGTGGTCTTTATAGACAGGTTTCACTGTATATATATCCTTACCTTCTCATGGCTCTGGTGCTTAGCATGCCCATCTTGGAGAGTGTGACCCTGGGTTCCGATTCGTCGCCGATCTCGTTGCGGAAGAAAGGGCAGCTACTGAGGAGATCGTTGCTCTGCTTGTCACCGGGGTCCTGGTCTTCGGCGCTTATAAGATCCTCCACACTCCCCTGTCAAAATCAGACAACAGAAATGTTGTTCAGCTAGTGGGCTTCATAAATAATGGCTGTTCTGAGCAGAAGGGCATTAACTCTGTGTACATGTATACGATTCAACGCCCTTCTGGCTACAAACAGAAGTTATACCAAAAGTTGTCATGGTCCAATGCATGTCCAGAGGATTTTTTTGTTGTAAAGAGTCGACTGGAATCATGAACAAAACAAAAAATGAGCCCCCCCCCCCCCCCCCCCCCACAAAAAAAAGGGTTTGGCAAGTTGTTCCAGGTAGATAAAGATAAAGTGTACTGGTTAAACATTGTGGAAGGTTGATGAAAAAAATGTGTATTTTTGTATGAAATGTTACTTACATGTATTATATTCCTTCTCCTGTACTCCTGTACTAACCTTTTAACTAGCAAAAAATCCTTTAAAAATTCTCAAACCACAAAGAAATTTATGGTTTTCTTTGAAGGCGTCACTTCTCTCATCTGAACAATCTTCAAACACCAAGTCCCTTTAATGAATGGATCCATACTATCTTTACTTACAAAATTCCTTTTTTTGTTTCGTTAGTGTAATGTTATTTCTAATGGGTAGGGGCATGGAACTTTTTAGCAGCCCCCTCCCCCCTCTGATTGTACAGGGGAGGGGGTATAAATAGATCAAGTACATGTAATATTAAAGCTATATTTATCTAATGGGATGAATAAGAAACCCTCTTTAAAGATATTCACTACACTATACAGACTCAATATAACCCCTAGTATCAAAATAGTTAATTCATTTCGATGCAAAGTTTCCTTGAAGGTATTCTGTCACTCCAGCAGAGTTCTAGAATGGTTAGACTTTGCAAATATTTTGATACCGTTGAATGAAAAACATCACTGGATCATTTAACTTTAAGCAGTAATTGAATTTCAACAGTCAAGCTGTACATTGCTTGCATGTTGGGAAATCCCTTTGGTTCTGTGCTTTGTTGATGTGAAAGATAACAGGGTCCAGTTAACACAGAAAATAAGGTCTGACACAGGATTTCCCTTACTTTAAATGAGCCGAGACCTCTTAATTAGGTTACTGGCCAGAGAATGACACAAAACGTCAGGGGGTGTTTCACAAAGACTAAATATGGCAGGCCATTCATGCCACTGTTTGCTGTCACTGTTTACTGGCATTGGTCTCTCAAGAGTCGTACAAACCGTGATCACTAATCTACAGAATTATATCTTTTGATAGTTCATTATTGAAGGAAAAAATATTATCTAAAGATCATAATTGAGAGACCAATGGTGAGATTAAAGGTAAAGACCAGTATTGGAAACGCCCCAATTTAAAAAAATGAAATGGAAGCTCTCATTACCAATCATGTGAAAGAATATGTTTTGACTAATACATGATGATAAAAAAATTGCCGGCAAACCGCCTACTAATTCATATATTTGGTAAATTTGTTTCTCTCATGGTCTGTGAGAGATATAGGGTAGTCCCATATACATCTTTCTGTGTATAGTGCTTGTAACTTTACGAAGAATGGGCCAAATTTCTTATCATTTTGATGATTCCAGAACCTTGCAGATGCTAGATGCTAGATGATCAACCTTTTCTGATCAATTCCACAACGTTTCTTTCACAATGCAATCGCATGACCATAACTGGTCTTTACCTTTAACCTGTGGCATGAATGGCCTGCCATAGTTTACCCCAACTTAAATTTGATCTTAGTCTTTGTGAAACAACCCCAGGTCAGGCAGAATGTAGAGGCTACTATGCTATTAAATTTGTATTCATTTGACAGTATTTAATATGATGCTGCAATGCATTTTTTCCCATTTATTTTTGCCACATGTAATTGTGGATGCAGTAACTTCAAATAAAGTGAGGCTTCTAAATGGTACAAGATTACTGTGAATCATTTCATCAAGAATATCTAGTATTTTTATAAAGAAGTATTCCAGTAATGGGTGACTCTTACACTTTTGTCTCGCTCATAGTACAGTAAATTCTTCCTATTCCTGATAATGATAAATAACATCCAATGTTGACATATTTCACTTTTAATTCACTTCAAAGCAATATATCTTTCAATCAGTACATCTTTAAAGTTCCACACTTGTTTTATAATCAGGAAACATTCCATGCAGCAACTTAGTGTAGTGTCAGCAATATGGTTGCATTTTATATGAATAATGTAAATATTTCCTTCTTCTAATAAAGGCACAATTGTATACAGACTGTTACACTTTACCTCTGGTGTATTGGTAGCACTGGCCCTCGATGCTGCAGATGCTCCCGTTGTCATGTTGCCCTTAGCGATCAAGTCACTACTCTTGGTTAAATCCCCAAGTTCAAAGTGTAAGCTCTGCACATCAAAATGCTCAAATGCTCTCCTCCTAACACCTTCTTCGATCCTTGTTTCAAGCATCTCATCAGCAGTTCTATTATCATGGTTCTCTTTGGAAATGTCGCCCCTCTTCCCCTTTTTCCTAAAGAAGGAGCCCTCATGCCTGCGCTCGCCGCTCGAGTAGGATTTAGTTCTGTCCCTCTTTTCTCGTTTACTAGGGTACCTGCGATGTGTTTTAGGACTGTGTATGGTTTGGCTTCTTTCGATGGTAGTACTGCGTTGCTTTGGTGTTGCCTGCGGTGTCTGCTGTGCCACCCTCGCAGGCAGAGGGGCGGTGTTGCTGCGCCCATCGTGGACCGAGGGAACACGACCCTGGATAAGCTGCTTGAACTGTGGGGGCGCTGGACTGCGCTCATCCACAGCCTTGTAGTCCTGCAGCATTCTAAAAAAACTCTCTCCTCCGGTGCTCTGGACATCTATCGAGGATGTGCTCCCAAATTCTCTGGTAACAGCTGCTGCATTGAAGTCTGTTTTCTCGATCATGTCTAGCGTCGAGTTACTCATGCTACGCCTCAGGTTTTGCATCAGAGGCATGCGGGGCAAGTCACCCCCATGGTTAAACTTCCTGAGATTATCTGTGGTCAACGCTAGGGTTCGATGACTCTCCTTCGAGGAGGCACTGACCACCCCAAGAGCGGGCTCAAAGTATTTGCCGTCGGGGCTGGTGTTGTGCCTCCGATGTTGAGGAGATCGGACATTCCGTTTCTCCTCATCTCTCCAATACTGCCTCGCTTCCTCTTTGCTCCTGAGCCAAGGGCTCTGCCTGGCAAGCAAGTCCTGCGTTGACGACATGAGTTCCTTGTGATAGTCTTTTTCATTATCCGCAACCGATACTTCCGACACTACCTCGGTGGTCTGGAAATCGACCTTCACCGGAGTTGCCCGAAACTGACCAGTGGTTAGTTGACCGTTACCGCTATCACCGCTGCTCCTTCCCCACGAACGACCGTCGCTCCTTGGGGTACTCACACCCCTCGATACCGTGCTCCCCGACTGGTATCCGTTGCCCTGGCTCTGCGCGGACGAGCCTGGCCTGTAATAGTTATCTTCCGACTGTTGAGAAGAAGAAGAATGACCGTTTTGTACCACCTTGCTGTGATAGTAATCGGCCATCTCCTGTGCACTTTGTCTTGCCGACTGAATCAGCTCTGGTTGTGCGCCTCCACCGTGTACGTAGTTCCCATGCACTCCTCTACTAGCTGTGGCCATATTCAGCCATGCAAATTTATCACTTTATCTTTCCCTCGACTGTAACAAAAACAAAGCCACTTTCTCACGCTATAAACAAACTAATCATTTCTTTGTCTGCGTCAACATCGTTACTGTCGATCAGAATTCATCTCTCACAATGATTCACATCACAATAAAGCTTCATAGAAAGTGATCCTATTCGCTCGAGAGTAATCCACACATGGCTAGACACATGTTGCACTGTCCACGATCTGGACGAGAATGGCAATCAAACATAACGGTTTCCTGGCCAAAACAACGGCTCTGCTCCTGCGTCGAGTCGCCCCTTTCCTTCCTAGTCTGGCCGTTGAGTCAAGCTTTGATTGCTAATGCCATGTACGGACAGAACAGTTGGGTCGGACGGACGGTCTGCCTGTAATCACAAGCTCATCCCTTGATCATCATTTCCAGGTCAAGCGGGTAAATCCAGTAGCGGTGCGGTTTGCTGGACAGGACCTTGAATTAGAGTAAATCCGTCTGTGGTTAGAAAATAATGGGGAGAACAAAAATTGAACAACAGAAGTTAAGAATGATGACAAAACAACCCTGAAAATATAAATAGGACTTAACTTTTGAAGAAGCAGGAAAATATGATTTTGTACTTCAGGTTGACCATCTTAAATTTCATATCTTAAGTCTTCCTGTTTTCAATTATATTCATAAAACCCTTAAAATGTAAATAGGAGTAAAGATTGATGACTTTTACAAGGGTTACAATACCCTGTGATGGTTGTGCATCCTAAATAGAATTATAAAAAAACAATGATGGTTGACGATAGGGCGGCGCAAATTGAACTATGACCTTGAAGCCAGTGATCAATAAAGAAAAAAAGGAAATATTAAGAGCGTGGTGAGTGCACAAAGGCTCTCACACGGATCTTTGAATGAGAACATAATCAAGCCTAATTTCCACATCCTACAGTAATATGGAAATGAAGTGGAATCCAACGGCTTCATTGCGTCAGCTCTAATAAGACAGCTGGATACATGAACACCTGTGTTGGCCAAAAGAAGAATGAGTTAATCCCTGCACGAAGATGTTTCTTAAAGGCATCGTTTAACAATGTTAAATCTGAGATGCATGGCCCTACATGTTATCAGTGTCTGTGATATGGAGTAATATTGAAGCCCTAACAAAATTGCGCTTCAAAATGATCATGAAGTAGCTCAAAAAAATTTTTTTTAATCTTTGAGTGACCGGTTTTACCATACTCATTTTCCTCAATATCTTGATAATCAGACAGGTTAACGGCTTGTAAAAGTCATGGGATTCCTGAATGACCTAGCATGAGCTAAATCAAGGATTTTGTTCAAGGATCTGAGACAAGGTTACCAGATTCCTTTAAAGGAGAAGCCCACCCTGATAATTAGGTGGTGTTGATAAAAGCATAAAAAAAAAGAAAAACAAATGAGTGAAAGTTTGAGCAGTATCCAATTAAAAGTAGGAAAGTTATGAATGATTAAAGTTGCCATCAGTAAAACACAAGTTGGCAACAGTGTGACGTATCTTGCAAGGTCCTCTCCAAATCGCTCAGTACAGAAATTGCACGAACTTTCATTTTCTTAGTTATTGATGACGGAATAGATAAGGGTTGTAAAAAAACATGTTTGCAATCATTATTATTACATATTACATATTCTATAGGAAAAATATAAATTTCTGCAATATTTTAGTACAGCGCAAATGGGTGAGAACCTCCAAAGCTTTGTAACAAAGTTACCATTTTGTGTTTGGTTGATCGCAACGTCAACAAATTATAGATTTTGCTCAAATTGTCACTGACCTGTTCCTCTCATTTTGTCTGCATCCATTAAAACCAACTAAAATAATATCAGGGTGTACATTCCCTTTAAAGAGAAGGTTGAGTTCTGGGAAGAGGTGAAAAATAATTTGTGAGCATTACTCATTCTTATTATGCAAGTGTGGAAGAACATCAGTTAAGACATGTTCCCTGAAAAGCATGGCTCTTCAAATGTCTTCATATTTTAAATATGCATGTAACATCGTAAAAATCGGGGGCCGGCTTTTTACGCCACGTGTTCGTGTAGTCCCATATACATCTTTCTGTGCAAGTGTTTGTAACTTTACCAAGACTTGGCCAAATTTCTTATCATTTTGATGATTCCAGAACCTTGCAATACTTACAAATTCTTATATGCTAGATGATCAACCTTTTCTGGTTGGTTCAACACCGTTTCTTTCACAATGCAATCGCATGACCAGAACTCAACTTCATCTTTAATTTTTCTTTATCATACATTCGGCTGACATGGGGAAAAACAATAGGGTCATTCACATAAGTCAGAAGCAAACTGCCAGGTCCCGACCACTTTATTCTTACTCAGGGCTTGACACTAACTAACAGGAGCCCGCCCGGGACACATGGGTGCCCAAAATCAAAGTCCAGACACCCAACATTTTGAGATTTCACATAGGGCTCTTGCATGTATACAGACTGTAAACAGTTACATTCAGAGCCCCTTCCAAAATGGTTAGTGTGGAACCCTGATTTACCCTTGGCTTTTTTCTCATTGTTCCCCCCCCCCCCCCTTGCCTCTGCCTCCCCCTTAAAAAAAAAAGGCAATTCTCATCTGTTGTTTATCTGTGTCTGTCTTTTATCATTTCCCCCTGACTCTCTCATTACCTACAAATACAATGTTCACAGACTGTTATTCACATGAACTGAAAATACATGTATAACTATACACAATACTACACCACCATCATATGTTACATGTGAGTGATTCGATCTGCTTGCTGATGAGTCACACAATAGGAATGCCATGATACAACAAATTGTAGTTAAGTGCAATTTTGTGTGTAAACATTGATCCCTTAAATTATACGGATGTGTACAATTTCAGCCCACTATCCATACATTATCAGTGAAGCATGAACAGTTCTATTTACACACTTTTTTTAAATCAGAATTTTCTCAACAAAAGGGACTATCACAACAATTGCAACTTCCTGATTATCGCCGTATTAGTAATAAAGAATATATATGCAAAAAGCCTCCCACTACCATAATCCTACAAAATTACAAATATCATTTTTAACAAATAGTTAGAACAATGAATATCTATCACAAAGCTTGTTTATGAAATCCAAAGAACTGAAGAAAACAGTTGTATTATCTGGAAGCGTGTGAAAATCTAGTCCTGCAAGAAATGCATTCCTCGTACATACTAATCCTATTCAATCTTCTCCTACTGAACTAACTTTCTGGCAAATATTTGCAACAACAAGGGCTAAAAGTTATCAATGCAGATATGTATTTGCTCGTTTTAGAGACACCGCGATAACACAGCATGTGGTTAGAGATTACATGCATTTGTGTCATGGATATTGCATGCATTTCGGTTGTTGATATACTGACAGACAAGCAACATATGCCCTTGGACTTTAAAAAGGGAATTGTAGGCACCTATTTCAACCTTTACAGCACTGCCCTTTACATGTCATGTAAAAAGAAACCCATGGAATTTGTCTGATGTTAGAAAATCGAGTGATCTTTTAATAAAGAGTTTCAATTTCACTGGTGCATAAATAAAGCAGCCCTTAACATAAAGGCTACAGCACAGGACTGGTGGATCAACGCTGTAAAAAGTCAATGTATTTTTGCAACAAATACATTATTTTATAGCTAAATATCAAACTTTTTTAAGCAGTAAATGCAAATAGGACATGTATGGTCTGACTACAATTGCACTACAACTCACTCTTGTAGATAACAAAAAATTTGAACAGTAATGATTTAACGTTTGAATTCACATACATGTACATTTACATCCATGAACATGTATTGTTTCATGTTTAGAGAGGCCAAATTGCATGTTCCCCCCCTCCGGTTATTTTTCTGCAATCATCCATTGTTTATTGAGATTCTTCTATGTTTTTCTAGTCTTTAAACAGCTTCCTGGCTTTCAAACGAGTTTGGGTTTGTTTTTTCAGCGTATGGATTTATTGATTTTCCTTCGTCTGCATGCAAGCATCGAGAACATGATCATCATCAGTCAGTTTCTTGCCAGACAAAATAGCAGTGAAAATAAAGTTATGTGTGCTTACATGTATACCGTATACAGGGCAAATTTATTGCGGAAATCGCCTATGTATTAAGCACGATATAAGCAAAAATATCATTATTATGTGTGGAATACACAGACAGCTGGCAAGTGTGCACTGGTCTATAACTTTTGATCCACCAAGCATGATAAATTGATTAAGCTCTCTAATTTCATATCTTCAAGGTACATTTTGAAATAATTAATTTTTTAAAGTAAATTGTAAGTGGCTGAATCTAATGTTCACAAATTCATGTTGAGTGTCTCAAATAGTGCTGTAACATCACGGATATCTCCAATTCCGTTTAACCGCCTGTCAAAACCGGACGGTTTTCGGTTAAACGATTTATTTTAAAAAAAAAAAAAAAAAAAAAAAAAAAAAAAAAAAAAAAAAAAAAAAATCGTTTTTTTTTTTTTTTTTTTGGCCGTGTGAAAAAGCAGGAAGGTGATTTAACTGAAGGCGCCGATTTGTGCTTTTGAACTAGTCACAAATAATAGTAACAATGTCGTTTTAGAATAATGTGTAAGATCATTAAAGTAAATTAAAAACAGTAGAGGACCTAGGATAGAACCTTGTGGTACACCATGTGTTAAACTTGTATGAATATATATTGAGATCTATTACAAAGATTACTTTCAAACCAAGATGACAGACAAATTGGAGTGTTGTTCTAGTTTCCAAGTGGTAAGTCATCACACCGATTACTGAGCTGGGAGACATTACCAGGCATAGTGCCAGGTGGAGGGGCATAAATCGAAACTTTAAAAAAAAAAAAAAAAAAAAAAAAAAAAAACGGGAAAACAAAACCGTCCAATTGAAAACGGAATCCGCCATGGGCGGTCGGATACCGGACGGTTAAACGTTTGACTACAGCACTAGTCTCAAACATCATAATTGCAGAATTTAAAACATCATCATTCAAAGCTTTCCAAATGAAGAAATAAATTTTCTTCTTTCCAATATTTCATAACTTTCTAAATGTGCGCTTACGGAATACTTGAAACAATTTTTTTAAATTCAAAACCAATAGCTTTCATAAACAAGAAATTCAATTTTTGCTATCTGCTTTCAATAATTTTGGGGATAAAAATAAGTGACATATATATCATTCTTCACATTTTGTAGTTTTTGCATCACAAAATATATCAATCACCTCTAGACCCCATGTCACAGCAACAAGGCTAAAAAAAAACAGAAAGGAAATAAAATGGGGAACACCTTTTCCACCATCCCCTACTCTGACAGATCTATACCACTAATGTTTTAGACCATTTATACAAGCATTTGTCTGCTTGCCTTGTCTATCCCATATCCTCTTTCAAGGGATCCTACAAAGTTGTCTGGATAAATTGTTTTGTTTTGGTAATTTGAAAAATCGGGGCAGTTTTGGAAGGTGATTTCTTCCTCAACA